TCCTCCCTCACAGAATAGTTGAGCACAGGTTAAAAATGTTGTAAAACCTATACCTGCACCATTTAGGGACCTAACAGTGATGCTAGATACTATAAATGATTATCCTGGGAGCCATACTGTCCAGTTTTGGAGCTGTAAGAAATACAAATGCTATCTTGCATTGTAAAATCTCTTAAGGCCTTGATCAAGTCAGTCAACAAGCTGTGACTAAGATTAAATGCCAGTGGGTACCTACCATTTTTGTATCTATTTAGAAAAGCACAGAACAAAATACACAGATGCGGGGGAGAGTTCCTGGGAAGCCTGTGTCTAGAAAACAGCACAGAACAGGTAATTGTTTAAACAGAAAAAAACCCCAAACCAACAACCCACAGAGACAGACAGGAAGCCTTCTAAAGGAGCTGTATAGATGCGTGATACAGAATAGTGCTCAAACTCCCACATTCAATGTATCATAACCTCTAGTTCACTAAATATTACTCAGCACCAAAAGAGTCTGCATCTTGCTTAGAGGCTAGAACTGAAGGAGGGCTTGTCTGTGTCTGTAGTGTTCTGTTTGTAAAAGGCATTTCTTCATAAGCTGACTAAAACTGTTCATACTGCTCTGCTGTCACCTAAGCAAGAAACTAACAGAACCTCACATCAGTTCATACCAGTGGGGCACATTGTGCTCCAGGATGTTTAGCCCTGAAAGAAACATGTAAAACTGAAGATTGGAGGTGGTTGTTGTACTTCAGTATGCAAGGCTGGAAACCCAACCATCTCTTCTCTGGCTGGATGGGTAGTATAACTAATTTTCCCCTAGGACTGTAAAAAATCTAGACTCTCGTATTTCCTCTGACATTTTTGCATTTAAAAATTAGACCAGATAGTATCTGCCAAAAGTTTAAGCCAGAAATAGGTCAAGCGTTTCCTTTCTCCTCCCCTTTTACTTAGCGTTCCGCTCAACTGGAAGTCTAAACAATGTTTTACATATTAAAAGAATATAAAAGTAAGTTTGGGTTCATTTGGGTTTTTTCCCAGAATAACCTCATCTTTCCATGGTAAAACAATCTAGAAATAAAGACAATGCCTTCAATTTCTTTTATAAAAAAAGTTTTGCATTCTGGAAAAAAAGCACTCTGACTAATAAATCCTGTAAAAATTGTTGAGTCTGCTAGTAACTGGCAAATATCTCATTGTGTTTTAAATATGCTACCATAGAGGTAAGATCTATTACACATTTAGTATTAACATGTATTTTGAGGGAATTCCTTGTTACAAAGTAGTGCTGCAAAATAAAATATTGCCTGTGCTCATCTAATTACTTACTGTGTTCTCTTGCACTTACAAGCCAGCACATTGCCTTGTAACACCTTTGCTGTAACAGAGGCTACGTCCTCTACTGAACATTCTTTAAATGGGTGCAGCTAATCTTTAAATTTTAATCTGTGGAGGAAAAAAATAATATCACACTTGCCAACTTTTCTATAAACACAAAGTAGTGAACCGACTTAAGTGTTTTTAAATATTTTATTGTCACGATTGTTAACAAAACGCTTTCAAAACATTCTGTACATTTCAAACTATTTTGAACTGCAGTACCCATTATATAAATGTACGTGGATAGATGCCATGATGTCTCTGTACAAAGATGTACAATATGTACAGTAACATTAAGTGTAAGCTGTGCAAGGCAAAGTCTAGGCTACAGATTCATGCCACTGGTTAAAACAAGGCATAGAACCACAGCTTCAATCAGATCTTGTGTGCAAATAAACAAATAAATGCAGGTATGTATTAATATTCGAAAGGAGTAATTAGATTTGCAAGCTCAGTTCAGCTAGAACAACATGCAGCTGACCGGAAAAAATACAGTACTACTCTTGTGAACTTTTTCCACTGCATCACTTTGTTAGGCTGAAACATCTTTCCAGGATTCAGCTGCTAGTCTTTGGTTGAGCTGAGGCAATGCCAGGAGATCGAAACTTTGGAAGATATAAACCAAATTTATTTTCTATACCAGCAAATGTAGCTGTAGCAAGTCTGTATCCACCTATGTGCTCAGGGTTAACAGGAGGAAGATCTGAAATGCGAGTTTTTGGGGTAGGTTCTGATCCAGAAGGTTTGCTGTTTGAAGAAAGAAAAAGAAAAAAAGCCTTTCCTTTAAAGTGTTTTCTTAAGCCTGAATAACTTTATGAAATCTAGACTAAATACTTAAGGCTTTTGTCAGAGTATGGAAGACTGTTAAAGCTGACTTTAATTAATTCATTTCTATGGTCAAGTAAAGTTGAGTTCAGACCACTACTTAATGGGAAATCAGGGCCAAAACTGAAGTTACGTTTTTACTGATAGCTTTGTAGATTCTTTTAGCTTCCAGTGACACGGGGAAAATGGAAAAATATCTTGCTACAATGGAAATACAAGTTTTCTGTAGTGTATTAAAATAAATGCAAAATGGTTCTTTATCTCTTCACTGGTTTAGAAGTAGCACACAAGTTTCAATTATCTAAGGATGGGGGCTTTTTTTGCGTACTGCAATTTTAAGTACAGGTGCTCAAAGTCACCAAGTTTAAGTCGTCCCATGATGAAAAAGGTAACATTTATTTTTAACTTGGCATTTTTTTTTGTGCAAGCTAAAAAGTAAGTATTTGACTTACAGGCCTCCAAAATCGACATAAAACCATCGCTGCAGCAGTTCGTAAGTGACCAAAGTAACACCAAACTGGGGTGAAGATCTGAACACACGAGCTGTTAAATATTACAAATCACAGTGTCAAACAAAGAATAGAGTTGCTCAGGAGAGAAGCTAAACATTTTTAACAGGATGTTATGTCTTTCAGAATCGGACCTTGTAAATACTGCTCTATTTTGAGTCCTTAACAAAGCAAGCGCTAATGTGCAGACTCAGGGTCAGCCTCAATATTCAGAGTGTGTTTCTCACCTCCAGCTCCCTTCCAAAAAGCCGAGGGGCCTTCTTCCCTCAGAATCTTTCCAAAGCAGTCAATAACTCCACTGTATGTTGTCTGACCAGCGCGAGCTGCCACTTGCAGTCTTGTCTTGATGACATCAGCAGGGGTTACCAAAGAAGCAGCAGGCACACCTTTTAGAAGAAAACCACATTTAATTTGCACACAGAATCTTGTAAAAGATGAAATACTTCTAACTGGAAAAATACAACTGCAAACTAGTATTTTTTGCAAGAATTGGGCATTACTAAAAATGCAAGTTCTTACACTTGATACTAATATAAACTGTTGTTCTTGGTATAATCCTTTCGAGTTTCTTCTGAATTTAAAGGCCCTAACTGATAGTAATGAAAATAAAAACTTATCAACAGAAATTCTCTTAACATCTTCTAGTGGTCTGTCACTAACCGTAGTTTCAAATAGATAAAAGAGGCACTTTTCAATTCACACATATGCTATGTATGTAATAAGAGATATCCATGACAGAAATTAGTTGTGCAACCTTACTGTAGTTGCTAACATTCTACAACAGATTTTGCAAGTTACGTAGACAACTGATTTGTGAACTTGAATCCTACATGTCCATTTGTTAAAGGTGTTAACAAGAAAACTACTACTTAAACCACCTATTCTGCAGAAATAGGTCTGTACTGCTGTTTGGACTGTTCTGTAGGAGAATAGATGTTGCTTACTTCAACAGGCAAGCCATAAAAAGACTGAGGCCAATGAAGGTGTTTTACAAGTCTGCTTAGTACCAACAGCAGTAGCCAACAGTGAGAGAAGAACAAATCTCCACTTCCAAGGC